TACCTGTTTGTGTTGTACGTTGCATCAAACGATACAACATCCCCGAAAGACCCGTAGTTTCTCCGTGATATTGGATCAGCCCAAAAAAGCCTCCGCAGGCGTTCCTTCTCATCCAGCTCGTACTGAAAATAAAAGGCGGAGCTATCCTCCTGACGTTTATAAAATTTGTCTACCACCAATTGAGCGTCGGCGCCTGAGATGTATGCATTTAGTTCCCTTTTGAAGTTTTTGAAGTCCACATGTGTTGCGCCAACACTTGAATACCCGCCAACCATCTCTTTATAAAGCTTGTACGACTTGGTGGGGCCTATATTTGCTTTTATACAGTTGAGAACAAAGTTTTGATGTGCTGCAGTCATTGTTCGATTGACCTTCAGTTGTGACCTGCACTCATCAGGGGCCATGGCGTGGCTGTGTTTTTCCTCGAAAAATCTAACAACATACTCATCCTTTCCATCAAATCGTAGCACAATTCGTGCATTACATCCAACTCGGTTGGAGATCCTACGCCTTCTAACACGACCCTCATTTAGTACCAGTTGGCCGGTATTTGAGTGGCTCTTGTAGCCTTCACGCGAGCATACCAAATATTTCCAAAGCACCGTTGTCTAATCTCTTGCTTTAATCAATGTGCTTTGTCTTACATCGAAACCAACTATAGAAGCATATGTCCTGTAGAAATCAGATGCTTCACTTAGCCCCTTAAATCTTTGTCCATAGTGAGGTCGAATTGCGTCGTCACATTGGGGTATCCAATACTTAGTGCCCCCCGGTGTTATTAAGAGTTGATGGTGTTGGGACGTCACAGTCGGGGCTTTTTCTGCAGTAAGTTATGGGAACAAACAACAATAAGTTAAAAAATAAAAATAAATATAAATACATTACACGGTAAATGCACATCTACGTATAGTAACATGCACAATAACGAGTACTATCGTGCACATTTATGTGTATTATCATGCACAAATTATAATGAACATATGCAGATTCACATGAAGATGATAGGTTCTGCATTCCAGAAAGTACGCAAAGAAATCTGAAAATATTAATCAAAACATAATGTGCAATTAATGATATAAATTCCAAAATACCTGTTTGTGTATCATCAGTAAATTACATTTGTTACAACTGAAACGATCGGAGCTCAAAGTATCGAGTATGGATATTGTAAACGCCCTCAGATCTCATGTTGATTCCATCCTTTTGATTGATGCAGGCGTACTATCGACCACCTTTCGATCTCTGTTTGTACCTCGATCAATCGCAAGATCCCTAATTTTTTATTTTCGATGTTGAAGATCTAATTTGTGTACTGTCCGCACGCTCCAGCAGGTGTACAAGTTTGCTGCATTTATTAAATTACTTGTTTGCCCCTCCAATTATGCGCAGGTGAAATCGTTAATGCCGTCGGATCATTTTAATTTTGTGGACAGGTTTTTTTCTTATTTCTCACATTAACATCATTCTCACTGGAACCCATCCCTATATATATATATATATATATCTTTAAAAGTGGGTATGTTAATCTTAAAGTTTTTTAAAAATTTAATAAATTTTTATCATTAAATTTTTTTAATTTTGAAATACTTCATATTTATTATTTGCTAACCTTTTTATATGTAATAGTTGACCAATATAATACAAATAAAATAAAAATAATATAATTATTTATATCGATATAAAATAATATATATATACATATATATATATATATATATATATATATATCAATACTAATTTAGAATAATAAATTGACCTAAAATTATAGTATATATTAATTTTTTTATTCAAGTTAAATCAATTTTTATTAAGTGTAAAATAACATAAGATAAACTTGTGGTATATTTTTCTTACATGGATTTGAAACAATTCATATTTAAAAAAAAAAGTAAAAAAATGGACACTTACAACTATTCCCACGTTTTGGCTAGAGCGCTCAAACCCGATATATATTTGGCACGTGTTTGCCGTAATGCTGAAACTATGGCGAATGCACCTTAGGTACCAACGAAGCGAAGTGAAGTGAAGTCATAGATAAAAGAAGGAAAGGCTAGGTCAGGAAGGGAAATGAGATAACATTAGCTATGTGAATTAAAAAGACAAATAAATGAGTTGTAAGTTAATTATTATTTAATTTTTGCTTGAAAAAGAACCCTATAATTGTGGTACTATATATGTAATTAGTGATTATAAAAATGACTTAGTTACTTGATATTTTATCAAAAATTGGAACTATTCTAACCTTTTTAATCTAATAATTCGTATAAAAAGTACATTTTTATCAAATATATTAAATTAAATTGTATCTTATGTGATTATATTAGTTGTAGTCTAATAAAAAAATATAATTTGAAAACATCACTATATAAAATACATATAAATTTGCTTTAATTATTTGGCAAATAAAATATTATTTGTCTGTAGAATAAGAAACAAATAATATAATAGTAACACAATGAGAAAAAGAATACATGTGAATTTTCTTAGAGAACTATGATACCAATATTTACAAACAAAAAAGTCTTTGAAAATTACTACTTTTTTGTTGCTAGCGTTTAAATATATGGACTATGTAAGAAATTGGTTTTCATAAATCCTATATTTTTTATTTTAAATTTTAAATAATTAAAAAAATTCAAATATTTGTAATACATAATGTATATTTTAATCATGACTCCATAATAATAAACTTTACAGATGATTAAGAGTATCGTAATATAATAGAATTCTAATTCTTCTCTTATCAAATATTATAACAAATGATATGTTTCTCAATATTTTCTCATTGTTTTGCTTGTTTTGCTTTGTCATTGTTGGAGAATAAAGAAATGATCTTTATCTTGAATTTTATAATCATTTTCAATGATGAATAATGTTGGACAATAAAAGCATTAAAGAAGTTATTAGGCACACAAATATTTCATATTCAAACGAATGTAAACAATTCTAAAATCATTGCAACAACCATAATGGTCAATGATTTCAAATAATAGATTATATTGTTCCTCTATATACAAATAAATAACAATGAAAATGAAATGTCGGAGTATCAAAACAGTTTTGAATGTTCGAATGAAGTTGTCACTTTTTATAGAAATATTTATAATCTCATTGGTGTATTGTGCTCGAACATATGTGCAATTACTTTATAGGTACTTTCAGGTAATGTATGATGATTTTAAAATAATTTAGCACCTGGGGAAAAATACATGTAACCAAAATTTTGGAAAGTTAACTTTTATTTAGAGATAAAATTCACCTTGTGGGGCGATGCATCAATGGGGTAGGCACCAATATGTTTAGAGACAGAGGAATGTAGTAGTTTATACAATAGTAAAATATACCAGCAATTTTAATGACACAGTTAGTTATTTCATGGAGATATTTATGCATTGTTTGTAGAAGTAGCTTATTATAAAGATTATATGATCATAAAGTTTGACTATATGTTGGGTCAGAATGTTTCTTAAGTTTGAATAAAATTGGTGTTTTGCCAAATGAATTAAGAGGAATTTTGCAATATTATTGATGTATTGAACTCCAACGAGTATGAATGTTTCTTATGAGAAAAATTAGAGAAAATATTAGTGTTCTTTTATTAAGGATTTGTTTCTTATATATTTTTTCTTGGGGGTTGTAAAACGTTATTTTACTATTTTTATATTAGGACATCATTATGTTTATTCTAAATTAAAAAAAAAAAACACATGTGAGTTCATTTGTTTTATATTTTGTTTAGTTCCTGCAATGAGTGTTCAATAAATAAATTAATTTATTTTACTAACTTATTCAGCAAAAATCATTCGATACCACATACATCATCGTAGTATACGATACTAGTATTTAAAAAGAAGAAGGAAAAGCAAAAAGAAAAACTAGTGTGATTTCCAGCGATGGATTATCATGCCACTAACTACTTCCCTTCCCTCATTATTGTACTGTACCTTGTTCTCTCCCTAACCGCCTTTTCATTTTCCATCTTCATCATCTCGGTAGTTTTTCGTGATAATGGCGGGTGAAGTTTGACCTCCTCATAACATGCTCGCCCCACGACTTCGTTCTTAGTATGATTTGTGATTCTGCAGTGTGACGAGTTCTCTGGTCCGCTCGCTATTTTAATCATTCTTCTTCTTCTTCTTCCTCTTACTTTTTTTTAGAGAGAAAGGATAATATTTTCCGATTTGATATTGTCTTTTGAGGAAGACCCAGTGTTGTTGGATATCCGAGTCTGGATTGTTGACGAAAAATATTTGTTGATTTCGCAGTTGTTTAATCATTTTGGTGGGGTGAGTCTAAGGGAGTGAACTCATCTGAATCGGAATCATCAGCAATGATCTATCTTACTTGACAGCAAATTGCGTTTGTTAATCATTTGGTAAGTTACTTCTGTACCAATACTAAAACAGCATGATTGTTGTGCTGTTCTGTTTAGTTGATATCTATCGTCAATGTAGTTGATTCGGTCGTTTACATTCATGGGTAGCAAACTGCTTTGTTGTATCACTGGGTGTGAAGTGAGATTTCTCAAAAATCAAGAGTATGAATTTAGCTTTTCCAAAATTCAAGAGTACGAATTGATGTAGAAGATCTGGTCAAGAGCATATAGATTTGATCATGTCCAACAAAATCCAGTTTTAGATTATTGGGCCATTTGCATAGATGAATAGATCAGTAATGGGACTGACTCAGTTTGAATTGACTACAGCTAAATAGCCTCATAAGCCATACATCCCTTTTCAATGCTGCAAGTTCCAAGTTATTTTTTTTAATAGCCGAGAAATTTAATTAACTATTTAGTTAGATTTTTTTTTTTGTAAAGTTATGATGCTACACATGTTGAGCCCATGTAACTCTGTTACTAAATCACAGGATTTGAGTTGCTTGCTATTTGGTTTACGTCTAGATGAAGTGTAGAGTTTCACGAAATTATATTTCGGTAACTGTCGGCATTGACTTGGGGAGGTCTTGTTCACATCCTTGACAATAACAAAGACATCATCATGGCCACGAAAGTTGCACATAAAAGATATGTCGGAGGTAAGTTACCAAGTTTTTGGGTGGCACTAGGAATTATCAGAGATTATTTTTTCCTGTTTTGGCAAAGCTTATATGTAATTGAGAAGTTGTATTTGATCTTTAAATAAATGGAGGAATTATCACTCGAATCCGCTTGCCTAGGAAACAAACTATATAATAACTGAGAACTTTTGAGAGTCAACAAAATTCAGTTCCCATAGCTAATCATTCAAAAGTATCCCCAACTATACATGATATAGTCGGAAGTTCTCTTGAAATATCATACTCTGGAATATCCTCAAGTCACCAAATTTCGCAGGGTGACATATATTTGTAAAGCAAATGTAGTCGGATCTTTCACAAAAAAATATTGGACTAAATAAAGTAATGCTCGTGTACACTTCTTTTCAGGCCTCGAGGCTCCTAGAAACAGCTTGGAACTACAAATGGAGACATCATATGACTTGTACTCTGCGAGAGACAATATACTGGTAATAGATATTGTTCATCATTTGGTTTAATCATTTACATTTCCCTGGTGTGTGGAACATTTACATTTCTGTTTCATCATTTGGTTCTGTCGTGCGCAAAATGGAGTTTGTAACTTAATATTATTCTGTTGCTTCTGTTGTATAATAGTGGTCGGAACTCTGAACCCTTGTTTGCTTCTTGGATTCATGCCCAGTGTAAGATTTTGACTTCAGAATAGGCAATTTTGCAGATCTCTTAGAAATATATTTCCAGGGCTAGAATGACGCCTTTTAGACTTGGACTTTTCCCCCTTATTTTTTTTTTGATAGTTGCTCATATACTTTTCTTTTATATATTTGTATTCACCTGTTTAGAGATGGTGATATACTTTTCCCCCTGTTTTGATAGTTGCTCATATACTTTTCTTTTATATATTTATATTCACCTGTTTAGAGATGGTGATATACTTTTCTTTTATATATTTATATTCACCTGTTTAGAGATGGTCAGACTGTGTGACAGAATTTGGATACCTCTGACCTTGATCATTACATCTTTTTTTGGTTCTTGATTTGGTATTTATGTTATCTGGCTTTTTTAGTACTTGTGGCTAGTTGGCTAGTTAAATTCAAATTCATAAGAGCTAAAGCCTATCACCTGCCAACATATTAGCCCCAAAAGATTTTAAACCTGGCTTATATTTTTTTAAGGTATCGCTATATCGAGTTGATATATGTATTTTCAGTATACTCCATATGACATGGGAAATGAGTCATTTGGTACTGATTACCATTTGACTGAGGCTTCGATCAAGAAGCTGATGAGTAGAGAGATTTCTGAAAAAGACCACACCCGACAGAATGTGCCAAGCGTAGTGGCTCGGCTTATGGGGGTTGATGTGTTGCCTTTTGACTCAAAATCAGCAGCACGAGTAATTGATACAAAGAACGTGAATCCTACAATCAAGTCGATGGACAAGAAGACAGCAAGAAAGGGCTTGTCAACTTGCTCCCAGCAGCCGGAGGTTAGTTCTATTGGGCATTACGGTGACACAGATCATGTCAAGTTAAGCAAGCCCAAACGTCGACAACATCCTCAAGAAGAGGAACTGCAGAAATTTAAGAAAGAGTTTGAGGCATGGCAAGCTGCACGCTTTAAAGAATGCACTAAATGTGTTAATGTTAGTAGTGATCCATCAGAGTTAATCGCACAAGAAGACCTCAACAGAGAAAAGATGCTTATTTATAGTAATTCCAAGAGAACCACAAATGAACCTAAGTATATGAATGCGAAAATTGTAGATCCCTATTCGAATACATTATCAAGAGCAGACTGTAAGGATTCTAAACTGATTGACGTTGTTTCTGGACCCACTAAGATTGTAATCTTGAGACCTGGCCCTCCTGAAAGGATCGATACCGTGAGTGACACTTCGTGGAGCACCTCAGAAGATGAGAGAGGTGGTGGTATAAAAGATTTTCTTGAAGAAGTGAAGGAAAGGCTCAAGTTAGAGCTGCAAGGTAGATGTCCTAAGAAGAGCACGTCTATAAGAGGTGGAGGAATTGAGACCCCTTATTGGGAAAGACCATCAGAAGCACAACCAATTATAGCACGAAATGGGGCGAGTTGTTTACTTCGATCTGAGTCTACAAGATCATTTATGAGTGAAAGGTTCCAGTTTATGAATGGTACAGCAGTGAGACTGAAAAATGATATGGAAGCAGAAACAAACCGGGGAGTTGCTGTCCGTGATAGTCTTTCACGACTTTCTATATCAAATTATGGTGGGAAAGCAGTGCATGCTTCGATTAATGACAGAAATGGCTGTTTTATAAATAAATTCGAAAAAGAAAGTGGGTCTTTCAGAATGGGGCCTAATATGCACGATAATGATCTGTCTCCTCGGAACCTCATCAGATCTTTGTCTGCTCCAGTGACGGGAACATCATTTGGGAAGCTCCTTTTAGAGGATCGCCATGTATTCACCAGGGCCCAAATTAGGAGGAAGCACGAAGTCTCCTTGAATATTAAGAAACAGAAAAAGGACAAGTTCAACATAAGGGAGAGGGTTTCAAGCCTTAGATACAGCTTGACTCTCAGGCATAGGCTTTCATTTCGAAGAAGAGTTAAGTCCGCGGAGGGATCGGCTGATCAAAGTAAAAGCAACCTCTTTAAAGATATCACAAGCGGGTCAAGAGTTGTGACGAGTTTCTGTGAAAGGGAAACACAGGTGAGACATGTATCATTTTAATAGACTAGTTGCATTCATTCCGACCCACTCTCACAGTCTCACTCACACCATTTTATGTAGGAGAATTCCACTGAAGTGCCTCCAAGCCCTGCATCTGTGTGCAGTAGTGTTCAGGAAGAATTCTGGAGGCAAGTTGATTATCCAAGTCCAATATCATCATCAGCAACTGGGCATCAACTGGAGGATAGCGAGATGTCCCATGTTTTTAGTGAAATAAACTCAAATTTGAATGGTTAGTGGTTGAAGATTATCATAGTTCCTTTCCTCAACTCAATTTATAGTTTTAACTACCCTACTTGTGGTATTTTCAGCAACACTTTTTCAAAACATTTGCATGCTCTAAAACATAAAGTGGCCAGTTGCCACCTAAATAATTTTGTGTATTTGTGCCAGGAATGTAGTTTGCAGAACACTTTTACTCTAAAAGTCATAAATAGGCTTTCCATTTCTTTTATAGTTGCTTCTGGATGGTGTTAGATCAAGATTTTTATTTTCCCTTGAAATTGCTTCATCTTCAAAGATCTTAATCGGTCGTATTTTAAAAAGTTGTTGGGGACTCATTGTTGTTTCCTTAGCATGTGACCAGATCAAAGCAAACACTTTAAATAATTTATCGAATGACACTATATGCCACTGCACCAGAAAATGATGCGTGTGTGTGTGTGTACTTGAAAATTTGTCATGTAATTCGTTCTCTTTGTCATACTATTTTGGATAATTTGCAGAGCTGCGGAGGAAATTAGATGAATTCAATGGATCCTTTTCGGAGGAAAGTATGAAAGAAGAGCAGGTTAGTGAAGGGGAAGCAGACATAGAGGACCAAACCGAAGCTTACATTAGAGAATTGCTTATTGCAGCCGGCTTATATGGTGGCGTCAGATTGAGTAAAAAATCCTTGTCAAATTGGGATCCGCTGGGTAAGGTGATTAGCAGTAGGGTGTTTGAAGAAGTGGAAGAGGCTTATGAGGAAAGGTACAGGTGTCAAGAAAACCACAAGCTCATACTTGATCTGTTGAATGAAATACTTCCGACTTTGCTTCGAGAACCACCCATGTACATGCCACGTGTTAGTTTACCAAATAACTGGCCTGTGCAAAAGCTGTCTCCATCTGGAGGTGGAAAGAAGTTACTTTCTCATGTGTGGAGTATTATTCGGGATCACATATACCCTCCGGCTGATACATCCTTTTACGCTCTCGATAATGTGTTGGCCCGCGATTTTAGTTCAACCTTGTGGTCCAAGTTCATGGATGATGATGTGAATGCTCTTGGACGAGATATCGAAAGCCAGATCATTGGAGATTTGATTTATGAAATGGTCGAGGATATTATGACAATCTCAAGTTGATAAAAGTCTGTTCATTAAAAAAAAAAACAATTATTCCTGACAAATCAATGCTCTCTGAATTGGTTCCCGTGTCAGTCAATTAAAATTCGCGTAGAAGGAAATGAGCATTATCGGCAGGACAGGCAACGGTTGTCTTAAAATGATGCGTTTTGAGTGGGAGGTATATAGGGAGTTTGTGTTATAAGATGATTTTGAGTGCGTGATGCAGTTTGTTTGTTGATTTTAACTTTATAGTTCGTTATGTTCATTATTATATTCTTATTGTAATTGAGTTGATGCAGGAGGCTTAGTGAGAGACCACAAAGTTTGTTTGGTTCTTGTTTTACTGTAATTATTATTGTAGAGAAAGAATGGAATTTCGTAGAGCATATGTTGGGATTGCCCAGTTTGGTTTTCATGTTTTATTGGACTTATAGAATTGGAGGAAGAGGTGTGTAACGTCCGCTTATTTGTTTAAAGGAAACATGGACTTTCAGAACGATTTGAACTTTAAAATTAATTTTTATTTGTTTTCGGAACAATAGAAAGATCTCATAGAAAGCAAAATAAAGAGAGTCTACAATCGAAGAGCTAGCTAGCTAGCTCTTACGGTTTTTCTATGGAGCCATCTTATTGTTTTTCTTATGGAACAATCCGCCTACGTGGATCTTATGTGGCATCATGTGTATTAAAATATGTGTTATTTCTTCTTTGTTTTTATTTTAAGTAGATAAACAAAATAAAAAAAATAGAAAAGAAAAGGGACGAAATAACGGTTGCTTCTTCTTCTCGCATCTCCCCTGGATGACCAGCAGCACTGCATCAACCAACAACAAGATGTCGGAGACAACTAGCAGCACATCGTCGGTCAGCCCGCAGGTCTCTCCTGCCGTCGCGCGGCTCCTCGCCGACGCTTGATCCTCCGCGCGGTCTCCACCATGTCACTGATGTACTTCGGCTCCAACAGCTCCATGGAAGAAGATGTCTTCTTGTCGAAAACGGCGAGGCCCCGTCCATGTTGGAGTGGCGGAGGTCCGTTCGCTGCTGACGGCTGCTAGGAAGGCGAGCGATCGAGCGCAGATTTTGCCCCCTTCTCAGTCGAAATTAGGGATTTTGGGACTACCACCGTGGTCGGAGTGGCGAGGTTCCGTCCGCTGCAGATAGAATTCTCTTATGTGGCCATGGTCAGAATGGCGAGGTTCGTCCTCCGCTCGATATCCATCATTCTCATTGCAAAATTTTAGGAATTTTGGGACTCTCGTTTGATCTGAATTCATCCCTTTTTATATATAATATATATATATATATTGTTTATCTACTTCAAATAAAAATAAAGAAGAAATAACACATATTTAATACACATTGTGCCACATAAGAGCCACCATGTAGCAGATTGCTCCATAAGAAAAATAAATTGGGTGGCTCCATAGAAAAACTGCTAGCTCTTAATACACAAACAGACACTGGGAGAACCACAAAAACTTGTGGCCTAAAACCAACAACTACCAACAAATACAACAACAACCACCCAACAACATCTAAATGCAATTACATAGCAACTGACCCCTTCAACTCTAAAGCTAATATCACAAAAAACAAAAACACAAGAAAACTGCAAATAACACACAACAAACAAGAGGAAAGGTACAGTCCATTGACCAATGGACCTAGACCAGGCAACCACCAACCACTAACATCTGTACCTCCTGAGATTATAAGAAGAAAACTCTAGCCAGTCAGCCATGGCCACCCTTACAACTTCAGCTCCCCCCCTCAAAGCCTGTTGGAAAATCCCCAAATTCATGGTTTTGAAATCCATCACAGAATATATTTGGATAGTTGGATTCTCCGTTCAGCTACTTCATACTTCTTCATATAGGATATCCACCACCACCAGTCTCTAAATTTGTGTGCATCCTTCATAGATTCTTCCTAGTCCAGAGGAGCAAGTTTCCAAATCAGCTGAGCTCTTCTGCACTGGAAGAATATGTGCTTAGTTGTCTTAGGGCCTTCACTACAACAATGACAAACATGATCCAGAGTAAGCTCCTGTGAAGATTAACACCTGTAGGCACAGAATGAAAAAAACATTTCCAAATCAGATGTTTAATCTTACCCTTAACTTTCAACTTCCAGCACCTCTCTCTAGCCACTTTATCCTTTCTTGCAGAAAGGCTACCTTCAACCCTATCGAGCTGTAACAGCTTAATAATCATCAATTCGACATAAGCATCAGCCACAAAAAACTTTCCTCCTTCCTGTCATGTCCAAACACCATCTATCCTTTTAATTCAGGGTTTTAGGGTGGTTATCTGAAGAATGGTTGCTCCCTCAGTGGCTCCAACGACCTCTAATACCAACTCAATATTCCAGCTCCTCCCACCACGTCTCAACAAATCAGCCACCTAAGTTTGAGAAGAATCTGCAGGATTTCTTTTTGTAGACACCCCTGCGGATAATGCAGGCACCAAGGGATGGTGTGGTCATTCTCTTTCTAAAAAGGTTGTTCAGGTGACGTACCTCGGAGTCGGCGCGGCGTGAGCGTAGTGTGGTCATTCTCTTTCTAAAATTTTTGTATATAGAACTACTAATTTACTCTGTACCAACTGTAACATCCCGCCTAAATTTACTAAAATCGGAGTAAATTTTTCGCTCTATAAATTGAAAGCACTGATTTAATTTTCAAAAAACGCTTATTAATTTTTTGAAAAATATTTTAACTTTAATATGCGGGATGCTACTCAACTTTAACTTTAAATCTTAAATCTTTATTATCTTTAAACTACTACACATGCAACCGAGTATAATTCATTACTCTAATAAGGCACCATGAAACATCTCAATATTTAAGCATGTTGTTATCACCCGACCTGGTAATTCGCATTATCAACACAAAATCATATGCTTAGCAAATTATTGCTGGTGCTAGTCAAACTTCTCTCACCCCGGTTTCAACTCAAACTGAATCCCGGTTCGCTCAGAATTATAACCGACTTGCCGATTAACCGTATCCCGTCCGACGTCCTCTTACGACACCGACTTGCAGCTCAAAACTGAGGTCACCAAAACCGAAGCAGATGACAAGGCGCATACGCGACATCCCCCTACGCCACAAGATACCTCATCATTCAGGTGGGCCCCGCTCACATGGTCGCCCATCTAAAAGTTACTTTACAAAAAGTGACCATACACCTCGAAACACGGGCTCAAAAAGATACTATAAATAGAAGATTCTTATTCTTGTACAAGGATCGAATTTTGGTCATTCATATATACGAAAAGCCCGAACACCTTTCACCTTGGTTCACCTCGGACCAGGGCCATTGTTCTTGTTTTGATGCATGCTTTACGTTCATATCGATTTAAACACCTTGCTAATCTTAAATAAAAGCGTTGCTAACAATCACACAACAACAGTTTGGCGCTAGAAGGAGGGCCTCATAAGATATTTGAGGTTAATATTCGACCAGTTCTCAGTCAGCTGCATCTTTTATGGTAACTATGTCTCAGTCAGATCATCGTGGTCATACGTCAAGAGACGGCCATAGTCGTAGCGCTGCTCAATCTGCCAGACGCTTCACGGTTGCACCGAATGTTCCTGATTATGCTACTCTGTTTCAAAATCCAGAATTTGCACGAGGTTTTGCCGCCTTGATGGCCCAAACCATACCCAGAATGTCGACGACTGTTCCGGGACAATCTGTCATCCCCACGACACCTGTAAACCCGCGGATTCAGCCGGCACGACAAGGCGGGGATGAGGCCACTTCGCATTCCACATCTCAACCTCGTAGTCGAGCTTCACAACCGCACCGAGAAAGAGTGGCTCATCAGACTGAAGCTACTCGTGCCCCACTTGTAATTCCTCGTGAAGAAACCGTTGAAAGTCAGTCTAGGCAACCTTGGCGATCTCCACCACATGTACAACCTCAAGCCTATTCTCATCCGGTACAAACAGATCTTCGTCAACCAAAGAAAAAAAAAAACCGCTCAGCTCGCAAGAATCTTCCGAACTAGAAGCGTTGCGGCGAAAAATTGCCGAATTAGAAAGTCGGCAAAAAGCACAAGAAGACACCCCTCGTCGGGCATCCACCTCGGCACAAGTGTATTTGGAGGTTGATTCTCCTATGGATCCTGAACTCACCTCGGAGCCAGTACCCGAAAAAGTCAAGGTTCCACAAATCGGATTATATGACGGGACGTCGGATCCCGATTCTCATCTCGGTCATTATACCTCATGGATGGATCTTCATGGAGCAACGGATGCACTCCAGTGCCGAATGTTTTCTCTTACTCTGGGCCCCGAGCTTAAAAATGGTACCACTCTTTACCCCCTCACTCTATTTGGAAGTGGCAACAATTAAGGTCGCTTTCCGATCTCACTTTATTGGGGCCCAAGTATGTTTAGTCCCGAAGGAATACCTCGCTAACATAACCCAGAAAAATGATGAGAGCGTCAAAGACTATATAGCTCAATTTAATGACCGAGTTCAAAATATGGAACCTTGCCATCCCAAAAACTTGCTTGTCATGGCGATCGCCGGATTGAAACCGAATTCAATATTCTGCTGGACGTTATGCCAAAATAAACCAAATACTTTCCAAGAATTTCTTGCCCAAGCTCAACAACATATCATCGCTGAGGAAGCAATGTCTGTTCCCGATTTTAACTTTACTCCAAAACAACTTAAGTCGGGGGCGGACGATAAAAAGAAGAACAAGTCTTTCAATGGGAGACAAGGTAAATCTCAATTCAGAGGTTTTCCTAGGGGAGACGCCAATGATCCTGAAGTGAGAGCGGCCCGAAAGCAATATGCCAACGATGTGAAATCGGGATATCAAACTGTCTACTCGGCCGGGGCCGCTACGATTTATGAAGAGATAAAAGGAAAAGGCATTCTGCCTGAACCCAAACCGGTCCGGATACCTGAGGATAAATTGGACAAATCACGATATTGCTAGCTGTCTTGCTAAAACTAATCGGTCATCCTCAACTCAGAAAATTTTATCGAAATTCCGAC